GCGCAGTGACCTGTAATTCTGGTCTCGGCGAGGGGTGGGTGGGCGCCCGGCCCTGGTTTCTGGCCGTTTCTGTGAGCGCGGGATCTGGGTGCCAGCCCTGGGCAGTGCTATCTCCATGCGACTTGGCGGGTTGCCATATCTTTCCTTCTAAATCAAAGCAGGTTCCTTCTTCCTGACCCCTGCTCGTTGGGATCCACTGCCTGCGCTTATAGGAGTTAGAAGTGCTGGTTCTGAAACGCAGCAGGTAGTTGGCAGAAAAAATCCAAAACAACAAACCAAACAACACACCCACTCCACCCTGAGGGTTTAGAAGTATCTGCAGAGGCAGATGCTGAAGCAGTCAAGGTACAAGCATACCCACCTTCCTGTTTTTAGGGGGTTAAACCTAAAGCTTCTTGTCAAGTTGCAGTCTGTTTGCACAAGTCCATACAAGTAACAAACTCTCGCTTCAGGCTTTGGAGGCCGTATATCATGATGTGAAACGCCAGGGCCTGAAAATACCTCAGAAGGACTGGCAGAGGTACCTGGCTAGGTTTTTGGTTCTTCGCTATGAAATGCTCCACTACACAAATGAAAGCACAGATGTCCGAAGGGGCCCTTAATTACAGTTAAATCTAGTTGTGAACGGAGTAAGTACAGATCGTACAATCAGTAGTTATGCTCTAATCGTAGTTATGGACTAACTGCGGGTTTGAGAGGAAAAGCCTGCAGAGGTTTCCAGAGGAGGAAGCTGCTCCATCTTGCGGTGGTTTGTTCCCCCAGCGTCCTCGGCTGAGCTCTCGGGGCTGCCCAGCATCTCATGGTGTCTTTAGCAATTTCTGATGCAATCCAGTTGGCTGCTGTTAAAAATAAATGCGCAGCAGATTCCTTAAACCATTGATTTCTCTTTAGAGAGAAAGCACTGTGTTTCTTGTGGGTTTGGTTTGTTGTTTTAAAGTCCTTTTAATTACAATTTTGTTGTAACGTTCCTCTTGTTACAATGTACAATTATTTTTGCAGGCGGGAAAAGCATTTAGGAAATTTCTTCCCCTCTTTGATCGTGTTCTGGTTGAACGATGTTCGGCTGAGACGGTAACCAAAGGAGGCATCATGATTCCAGAAAAAGCTCAAGGGAAGGTGCTACAAGCAACAGTAGTAGCAGTTGGATCAGGAGCCAGGGGCAAGGTAAATATCCTCGGGCGTTCCCTTTGGGTAGAGTTAGTGGTGCAGCTGGAATGTTACCGTGGTAAAGGGAGGGCTGCAGTGTAAATGTAGTGACAGCTCACAGAAACTGACAGCTGAAGTTGGAAGTGCAGATTCAAAGAGGAGGTGGAAATACCAAGTTCTCCTGACTGGCTCTGACCTTCAGTTCCAGCATTCTTTTCATCATTTTTAAACTGGAAGACACTTGTCTTTTACAATTCAGCATTATTTATTGACATTTATAAGCAGCTTTAAACAATAGCCATTTGCATTTTGTGGAGGGTTTTGGGGTTTTTTTAGTTCTAAATACATAAATGGTGTTTTGTGGGTTATTTTGTTTCATCACTTCTCAGCCAAAACCTTGAAGGATCAGCAGCCTTCTATATTAAAGTGGCTACACACCTGAATTTCTATGACATGTGAGCAGGGTGGAATCCCTGAAAGTGGCCTTTGCTGTTTTGTGCTGTGCAAACCATCATTGTCCGTAAGGGTTAGGTTTGCCAGACAGACCAGAAATCAGAAGAAAGAAATGTTAAATATTTTTTTTGTTAATTCTGCACGCCAAATCTGCATTTGGGATCATAAAAGACATTAGTCTTCACAAAAATGCCAGTGGCTGTGGGCTTCAGCATCAGAAGGGTTTTTTCCTCACCAAAGTAGCGTTTGGTCAGTACCAATAGTGGAAAACAGGTTAAATTTCAACTCGGGCGTGTTGACTCAGACTTTTTCTTTACCAGGAGGCCCTCCATACATACTGTGCTGTTTTGTGTCAGTATCTGATGTTTCAAACTTTATGTTGTGAAATGGTGCTAATATTTGACTAACAAGCTAATATTTTACTTATAATACAAAAATATAATTAAACTTTATCAGATGTTTCTCAACAGTTGGTCTGCCAGCAACAGTGACAAGTTGATCAAAGTAACGAAGATGGGAAGGTGCTTTAAACCGTAGCTCGCAGAAATGAGCCTTGGCTATAGAATATGGAAATGGATTTTCTCCCTTCATTTTAGCAGAGGATTTCATGATCTGTCACTTAAAAGCAACCCAAGAAACCTGAGAAATTATTTTTCTTCATGAAGTGAAGTCCTATTCAGTATGTCAAGCAAAGACCTCACAGTTCTATTTACACTCAAAACCAAATGAAAATTAAGTCTATTCAGGAAATCAGTGCAGTTCTACTGCCTAAATATTGCAGGACTCCCTATGTTTGAGAATTGACTGGTGTGCTTTTCTTCCTTTTTCTTCCTTTATATTTGAGTTTCACTGTACAATAAAAGTACAGAGTTGTTGCGATTTCCTGAATGTTTTATATGTGGGTGGATCTCAGTAGTTTGTTAAGTTTGTCTGTAGTGTGGAAAAGTAAGGATTTCTTTTTTTGTCTTCCAGAATGGTGAGATTCAGCCAGTGAGTGTAAAAGTTGGCGAGAAGGTTTTGCTACCAGAATATGGTGGTACTAAGATTGTGCTAGAAGAGAAGGTAAGTTTCCCACCTTTGTGAGTGCAAATAAAGCTGGATCCCAAAAATACCAGACTGCTTGTGCTAAATGCTGTGGTTCCTTCATGGTGCTGGCATTGCTGAAGAAGTGCAGTTGTTGGTGTTCAAGTGGCAGCAGCCGAGTCCAGCCAGCTTCTGCTACCTGCAGTGCTCCACCTGCTCCTTCCACCCCTGTTTCAGAAGTAACCAAGGAAACCTCTGGCCTGACCTCCTCTGGGTGCAGGAAGTGGCTCCTGTGCCAAGCCTGTGTTAGAGGGAGCCTTAAAAGGCTTGGAAATTACTGAGTGTGCCCATGCTTTTGACTGGGAAAGCTTGCAGAATTGTCTTCTAACAGCTCTCACGCTTCCTACTACTATTAAAAAAAAAAAGTAACTTGATAGCTTTCCCAAAGAGTATTTTATGAACAGTAACAAAAAAAACCTTTTCAAGAAATCGACATGTAGAGCTGGTCTTGGGTAGCTTGATTTTTATTTTGTACTCTGTGACTGTGGTAGACCTGACTTTGGAACAAGATGGTATTTGCAAAACAACTGATATGACAGGTACTAACGCTTCTTTTCTTTGCAGGACTACTACTTGTTTAGAGATGGTGACATTCTTGGGAAATACGTGGACTAAACCTGTTGCAGTATCAGTCATCCATTCCACTTAAACGCTGAAATTTTTCTTTCATCATGTAAATAATGTCCTTTGTTTTATAATAAGCAGGCATTGAGTCTCTGAAATAACTTGTGATCCCACTGTAATGATGGAACACAAATAAAAACATGTACAGTCAGAAATCAGTTGCTCTTGCTTGAGTTCCACTGAACAGTGAAATTCAGATGACCACCAACCAGCCTTAATTATCCAAACAACATCATTTTATACCCTTATCTCTGTAACGAGATTGTAAAGGTCTTTACAATAAACTTCTAAAATGATCCTGCCTGTGTCTCAGTTTCTGCTTTTGCTCAGTGAAACTGAGTCTCAATTGTGTAATGAGCTAATGTCTCCAAAACAGCACAATTGCAGCCATTCGTTATCTTCCCTGAACTTGTATGAAGCTGGGAGATGAGCTGAAAAGGGTTATCGCACAGATGTGGTGATGAGGGGCACTTTCAGCTAGCTCCCTTGCACATGGGACTTTATCTCAAGATAACACCTTTTTTTAACTCTCTTCTATCTTAACAAAACCCAAGATACGGGTAAACAGGAAGATTAATGCATGCACCCACCCTGCCCGCAGGAGTCTGAAAGGGGCTTGGCACTAGTCACACCTCTGCTGGAACAAATTCATCCAATTCATAGGTGAAGCAGATAAAAATTACTGTGATTCTTCCTACAGCTCTCACTGATTTTTGCCAATAGAAAACAAGTAACTTCCCTCCAGCAGTTAATCAGGCAGAATTGGGGCTGATGCTGATGTGAGAGCCAATTTCTTGACTGATTACTACCCTACCTCAAGCCAGATCTGCGTTCCCATAGCTCTAAGTAGGCAGCTGATTTGATAACTTGTATTTCCTTTGTCCTTAATGCAACATTCTTAAATAGCAAGACACTTAACTTGAGCCGTGCTGAGGCAACCAACCTACTTATTCCTAACCACCCTGTCTCTCCTTGGAAAAGGATCCAAGGTTGTCGCAGCAGCACACAACTGCACTTTATACACTGTGTTCCTAATGCTGCTCAGAGTTGGCATGTGTGCATTCATCTAGTGCAGTCTAAGCACATACACTGCCTTAAAATGTTTCCATGTAGTCTGATGTGAAATAAATCAGTATATCACTTATTGCTACTGAAACTTCACTAGCAGTAGTTAAAGGGTAGTTCTTTGTCACTCCATTCAAGCTGTTAGGAACTTGACATGGCCTGACAGGCTTTCTGGAGCTACCCGGAAAGCACTGCAATGAAAAATATTTTTCAGAAGTTCCGTAGCTGTAGTGGGGGGCTTCAGCTTTGGCATACTCTGAAACACAACGTATTTTCTGCCAGGGCAGTTTCGGGTCCCTCCCCTCAACAGCTAAGCTGCAGGCCCAGTTCAGCCCAGGAGCCAGTTTCAAGCCGGCTCCTCCGTTAGGAGCTGCACTCGGCAGTCGTGGCTGTGATACCCTTTGCTCCCCGACGCTGTGGGGCGTGCTGCTCGCTGGCTGGTACCACCTACCTGTGTTGGAGCTGTAGGCAAACCAGGCAAAGTTACACCATCCAGGTGAACTATGCTAACAGAGAAGATGCTAAGTTAAAAAATACATTTTTTAGTATAAAAGGCCTACTTTGAAATCCGCCCTGCTGCAGTTTTGCTTTAGCAGTTAGAGCAGTGCGATTTACAGCTGAAAGTTAAGATTATCATACAAGTATCTCGAGACAACTGTGTCATGAACCCCATACTCGCTGAGAAGCATTATCTTCAGGAGCAAGCGCACCTTTATCTTCCACGATACGGCAGGTATTCTGGTGTAGTCACATACCAAAGGCATTTACATATTTACTTAAAGAAGCTCGACCTTGTCTGGATGAGAAAAAGGCGCAACAGCAATCAGCTCACAACAGAGAAATGTTTAGGCTTAAGGTTCTACCAGTAACTTCTTTCAACACTTTCAGCCCCAGCAGATTTTCACCGGTTCGGTATCACGCTTATTTAAGAAAACATGCAGCGTGGCCGCATCAACTAGCATTTACGTAACTGAAAACAAAAGTCACATCTTCCTGAGAGCTTTCATGGGAATAAGTAATTTATGGACCTAAACCAAAGAACCAAACCACCAAACACCCCTAGGCCTAATCAAACCGAGGCCGTGCTCTAACATCTGCTGGATGGATGGGCAGAGAACATCCCGTTCTTGCACCACGAGGCTGTCCCTGCTAGCAAGGACGAGGCAACTGTGACACAGTCAAGGTTGTTCCTCAGTCTGTAGCAGCACACCAAATTCTGTAGACGAGGACAGAACCAATGGCAAATGCTCTTTCTTTGCTCTGTCATTCCTGTAGGGATTTAGACTTCTTTATTCCACTGTTTTCTAGGCTATTGCAAAGCTTCAGTTTCAGCAAAAATGTTACATACTGCCCTACCCGCTTTTTTTGAGGGGGGGAATCAGTCCTCTCCAGCCTTTCCTGAGGCTGTCTGAATCATAAGAAAACTAGATGGACTCTATGTACTTTTGCTATTTTCCAGTATCAACATTTCAGAACAGCTTCCATTTAGCAGCAGCTCTACTATTTTTAGAAAACCTTTATCTGCCTGCTTATGTTATCCTGCCGTAGTCTGAAAAGGACGAAACTTGTACACACCAGCAGAAAAGAAAGGAAGGCCGGGTCCCTAACGGCATGGAAATAATAACTCCAGAAATAACATTCCATTTTTCACTCTTAAAGGTCATGAGGCAATGAGGACCAGGAGAAAACCAAAATGTGAAATTACTGTTGATCCGATTTTGTTTAAAAACAACTTGAAATCCAATAAAACAAAAATAATCACCTGTTCCCAGAAATACGGGCTTAATTACTAAGGGGCAACACGAGAGACCTACATGCTTGAACATCTTCATTAGGAAACACTGCAGATACCTTTCCTTTTTCTGCAAACCCATGAGCCAGCTGCAGACTGAACTAAGAGACACATATTTCTCCCTGAGAAGTATTCCTTCACAGCCAGATTTATTTCCATTTCAGAAGCAAGGTGTCCATGAAATAAAAGTCAGGGACAAATGGAAATGTCAAATTCCCAACTCTTCTGTGCTCTAGCTATCAGTTAAACCTTGAATATGATGACAAACAAACCAAACCAAACCCAAAGAAGCTGCTGAACTTTAAAGGCATTAAACAGCTAGCATTGCTTTTTTTTTGGGACTGGTTCATTATAATACCAATCTCCTACAAAAAATTAACGCTCGATTACAGCTGATTTAGTGAGGTGACAGGACATGTGTACCCTCTCCATTCTAATGCACCAATTTCTCCCACAACACCATTAACCTTTCCACAGTCTCTCACACAAACTGCTACCAAGGGCTGCGTTTCGCCACAGGAAAAAGCTAACATCTCTGGGGAAGGAATGCTGACCAGGAGTAAAAAAGTAACTAACGCAAACTCAACAGAGGGTGCCTAAAGTTAGGAATGCCACCTCTGGGTTACAGTGTAACAGGGAGGGAGCTGCCACTGCTGTCCCCATAACCCAGGGACTAGCTGGGTGCACCCACCTGGGCAGGGGATGACTCCGTTACCTATTTCTCATGGCTCCATCGTCCAGCTTTCGGTTACAACCTGGCCTCTGGCACGCAGCAGAATCCTGTTCGTGGCGTTGCCCAAGCAACATAAGCACTCAAAACGTACTTTGTCTTCTGATGGGAATACCTACTTAGACAATTTTTTTCAATGTTTTTAATCCAGAAATGTTTCACAAACTCTAACTCCCATTGGGTAGAAGGTTTTAACATGGGGAAGCACATGTTATTTACAGCAAACGAATGGCTCAAGTGAGAGAACAACACTTGGCATTTACTCTGTAATACAATGGAAGAAGGGGCAGCATCAGGTACCAGCATTCTCCACCTTTTCAAGAAACAACACACAACTGCAACCATTTATTTACTGATTGTATAAGGGGAGGTATCTCCTCTCTACCTCGTTGCTCCATCATTCTTGTTTGCAGGCAGAAGCAATTCACCCTTAATTACTTATTTCGTACTCCTTCCTGCCACCGATTCCCTAGAAACAGCAGCTTCCAAATCATTTTCTTCTTGCTTATCCTCCATAAATGAGCCACTGTAGTCTTCCAAAATGTCTTCTTGCTTGTAACAGGGACCTATTTACCAGCCAAGTATAAGCTAACAGTGCCTATTTTGTGTTTTCTTCCCAAATACAGTCAAACACGTGTTGACACTCGACTTGGTAGACCTTGAAACCTAATAACTCTGTTTTCCATTAGCACAGCAGTTGGTGACCTTTGCACACCAAACTCACAAGTCTGCCAGTGCTGCCTTTGAAGACCTAGAAAGCCTTTGTGTTTACTTTGTTTGAAGTGTTCTGCCCCAAATAATTCTTGTTGGTTTGTTTTCACAGAATCACAGAATGTTTGGGGTTGGAAGGGTCCTCAAAAGATCACCTAGCCCAGCCCCCTGCCAGAGCAGGATCACCTCCAGCAGGTCACACAGGAACGCGTCCAGGCGGGGTTTGAATGTCTCCTGAGCAGGAGACTCCACATCCTCCCTGGGCAGCCTGGGCCAGGGCTCCAGAACCCACACAGGGAAAAAGTTTTTCCTGATATTTTTGTGGAACCTTCCATGTTCCAGCTTGTACCTGTTGCCCCTTGTCCTGTCGTTGGACATGCCTGAGCAGAGCCTGGCTCCGTTCTCCTGACACTCTCCCTTGACATCTTTAAAACCATGAATGAGGTCACCCCTCAGCCTCCTCTTCTCCATTATTAATAATTCTTAGCATTAACTATGCATCTTTAATGTAGGTCTTTAAACATTTTTTTAAAATCCTATTTTTATAAGCCCTTATGGTTTCTGTATCACCCAGGGAAGCTGTGGATGCCTCATGCCTGAAGTGTTT